GTAAGTGACAAACTTAAAATAGGAAGTGTTCAACGATACTTCTCGTCTAAACTACTAGGATTTGACTGCGAAAAGGACTACTCATCAAGATGTATAATCCTAGGTATCGACCCACTCTGGATGAAACGACTCAGCATTAACCTAACATTCTTCTTTAAAGTCTTGCATAAAATATCATTCTCAGACAGCAAGGAGATACAGGTCTCACCGGAAGGCTCCTACAATCTGCGTAATCAAACGTGCACAGTATCTAGGAAAAGCTGTAAAACAGCACTCAGTGCAAATTTCTTCATAGTCATGTGCTCTAAGATCTGGAACAGTTTACCCCTAGAAATAAGGACCTGCCAGTCTATTACAAGCTTCAAACGTTTGCTATATAAACTGTTTCATCCCAATGACTACGCCAATCAGAACGCGCCACTTATTTCTAAAACGCATCAATTATTAGAACACTATAACGCCTAGACTCATTACTATATATTATGACACTAAACAAACTCTAAGACTTCGCATGAAGTCATGAAAACACAACTACAATATAGGTAAATGTTTACTATAAAATGATATACATTTATAAACATTTATATGTACATAAAATAACAATGTTCTTTCCATATTTACATACTTTATCTCCCTGCTGAGCGTAATCTTCTATATACCTCCTGGTCGAGGTCGAACAACCCAACATCTAAACTGAAATGACCATTTAAGTAAATTCAAACTCAAATTCCATGAACGATCCGATGCAACCACTTGAAAACGCTGGCTAACATTCTGTACAAGGAGTATTCTTGATCTGATATAAAGAAACAACTGGTTTTCAAGTAGTTTTCAATGTATTACTCAACTTACATGTACAGTCTGCCATGCTGACCCAAACGGCGCCAATGGATAGTTCTAGAATCGACCCCATTTGATGCAGTAAAACAATCTAACATGAACTTATCTAATTTTCGTATCAAAGATCAAATTTCTTTCCTATTATAAAACTATTAAACTGGTGAAAAAATGGAATAAATACATTACTGACTCAAAATAATACATCAATAAACTCTATCTCAAGGATGCTGTTCACAACAAAGTTATATGGGAGAATTGACTTCAAGCTTTATTTTTCCCAGATATTTGTATTACATTCATCTGATGTCTGGGTTTTTTGTTAATGCGAAGACAATATTTCTATATCTCTTTATGTGTTACACAGATAGGCTATTTTGCAGACTGTTCTGACTGACTCTAATGTTAGATTGAACAAACAAACTGCAATTTATATAATAACTTATCCATGCCTGTACAATTGGTATGTTCCTGCATAAACAGGAATAAATATATATATATCAACCTGAAACCAATCTGGAAATCTTCGTCACTCAGCATCAACAACAAAATTCCGATTTTCAATACAAACGTCAAGTCAGTCAGTTCTTCTATACGGATGGATCAGAAACTTGGCGGGTCACCAAGAAAATTTTCAACAGGTTGCAAACCTTTATCAACAACTGTCTTCGTTCTATACCGGAGATTAGAGGGCCGGAAAGAATCACAATCTGATATATATATGGGAACAAACAAAACAGGAACCAATTGCCCAACAAATATGCAGGAGAAAGTGGAGATGGATTGGACACTGGCTGAGGAGGCCGTTGGGTGACATCGCGCATCAGGCCATAGCTCGAGTGGAACCCGAAAGGGAAGCGGCGAGTGGGACGTCCAAGGGTGACATGGAGGAGATCGTGTGATGAGGAACTGAAACAGTATGGATTAACATGGATGCGAGTGAAAATTACAGCACAAGACAGAAGCAAGTGGAGATGTGCAGTTGAAGCCCTATGTTCCACTAGGAACCCAAGGGAACAATAATAATATAATAATAATCATTAGTACTATTTTCGAAGTAAAGCAAATTATTATTACTAATAACCTGCCTGTTGTAACTGCGCGTGTGCGCCATTCGATGCAACCACTTTTTAACAAGTTGATTTGGGAACTTTTTTCGCTATGGTGGTCAATGGGAATGCAGCTTACCTTCCTTCTGAATGCCTGGCATACAAGGAAAAGACATAAAACAATACTGCACCCAGGGAATTCCTCTTTTAAAGCGTTTACCTGTGCAGTTGAGCAGTCGACAGTGAATATTAGTGTTTTTGATGTATTAGTCATAAATCATTTAAATGTCTGCAATATCTCCTTGATATCTGCAAACGTTTCTCTCTTTGTATGAGCAAACAAAACAGCCCTTCCTCTTCCGAATCCATCAGTCACAACAAATTGATATAAAGGCCATCTGTAAAAAATTTGGAGAAGGAATTACACCTCCTTGTACTGCAACTAACCTCATCTTATTCGTTTTAAATTTTTTTCTTCACGTTCCCCAGTGGATCATAGGGCTTCAAGCTAGTGGCTTGAAGTTTCTGTAGCTGTGTTTATTTTACAGGATGTGGTCGCTAGCCTCATGTCCAAACCTTCCTCTTCACCAGGATTATTTCTGTCTCATCGAGGTAAACGAGTGGGTCGTCCGGGGACCTAACAAGTTCATGTATGCCACGTCGATGCTTGAAAGTAAAGCTAACTGCCTGACATTTGGAAGGATTTAACATAAGACCATTCGACTTAGACCAATTGCTGATGTCCAACAGAAAGCTATTAAGTTTGGAGCAGTCAGACTCGGAAGTGATAGGCAGTGATACAGTCAGATCATCAGCATATTTGACAAAATTTGTTTCGTTTAAATGAGGCAGGTCGTATAGGAAGAAAGAAAAAAGAAAAGGGGAGAGGACAGCACCTTGAGGAACACCGGCTTTTGTAAGCAAAGCAGAAGAAGATTTGCCATCATATGCAGTATACTGCATTCTATCAGAAAAATAGAATGCAACCAACTCTTAGCCCAGGAACCTGTGTGCGTCAACGAAAGCTTACTTAATAAAAGGCCCCTAGGTACAGAGTCAAACGCAGATGTGTAGTCTAGGAAAGCACCACGAACATATTTGGCACCTTTGTCTAAACAAGAAACAGCATTATGAAATAAGACAACCGCAGTATCCAAGGTACTTCTACCATGTTTATATGCAAATTGCTTAGGATCATTAAAAGGTTTCAATGAAGGTTCAAGACGAAGTAAAATTAGTTTGTCCATCAATTTTAGAGAAGGAGAAGTAATTGCAATAGGCCTAAATTTAATATCGGTACCAGATTGTTTTGGTATAGGGATAATTCTAATGTTTTTCCATGCAAAAGGCAGAACATCACTGGAAAAGGAAGCATTAAAAATATTAGTAAGAGGGTAGCACAAAATATTGGCACAGTTTTCATTATTATTGTTTTCTTTAATTCCCAGAGGAACATAGGGCTTCTGCCGTGCGTCTCCATTGCCTTTGGTTCTCTGCTGGAGTTTTCACCTGGCTCCAAGTCTGCCCACACGTTTTCATCTCCTCTTCACATGACCTCCTCCAGGTAGGTGAACAAATCAGAACATATTGCTTATGGTTTTGGACTTACCTTCATTTCATTAGTATTATAGACGCTGAGGCTGGTGCTTACATTAGAAGGTACTGGCTAAGAATAAAGAAATATTGAACTGCATCGTGCAACCGGTTCGCCATCACCATGGGGAACAATACTAACAACAGAGTTGAGGATGTTCACAGGCATCTGAAAAGATATTTACTTAAAGGTGATCCACTGGAACTGACGCTATGGAAAATATGAAGGTGTATTGACCACACAACCATGCGTGAAATACGTCAGTGAATGCTCTGTAAATGCTACAATAACATGAAATACGGCGGCCTGCTTAACATAGGGCTACCAAAAAATTCCACCTAACAACATTTTGCAAAATCGCTTTGGTTTGCTTTTTTAATTTTGTTTTAATTTATCCATAATGTGTCCTATTCGTATTATATATATATAATCGCGCATTCTTAAAATCATTACAACCTACTGCACTGTGTCATCCACAAAAATTGAGAAAAAAGCATCACTGTGGATGACAGCGTGCACTGAAACGTACACAAATTTATCAAATGACTGTTCCTGAACTCGTTAGCACTAATTGTAGATCCCTGTCCAACAAAATGGATTCTCTTCAATCTCTAAAGTATTCTAATGTTTATCGAAATGCTGGCGTTTTAGCAATACAAGAGACTTGGCTGCACCAGCGTTATGATGATAATCTAGTTTCAATAAATGGATATAAAGTTTTTCGCCAAGATAGAAAAAGTTCTATAAAAAATGTGGAGTAGGGGTAGCCACTTTTATAAACACAAGTTGGTCTACATCAAATCACGTTTGCTTCAACTATTCTAATGACAATATAGACTGCATAACCGTCAGGTGTCGCCCAAAACACTTAAGTAAATATTCTTATATATACATAACAATTATTTACATAACACCCAATTGTAGCCTTTCTAATATAGTTATGTTTGCAGATAAATTTACTGAATTCGCTGCTCCTGCATTCGGAAACTCGTTGTCTATTGTCTGTGGTGATTTTAATTCATGTGATCACAGCTTTCTTACTTCACTTAGTCATGAGAATCTACTCAAGTTTAATACAGTCTGGACAAATCACTAGACCTGGTTTTCATAAACGACAGTGATGTATATGAAACCTGAAGGAGAGCTCCTTTGCTAAACTCTGACCACTGCATTATTCGTATTTTACCGAAAGTGTACGGCAAGTTACAACAAAAATTGTTTAGCCATTTAACAAAGAAGATACATGAATGTTTATATTCCCATGACAACATTCTAGCACTAAGAAGCATGTTGTATGATACCAACTGGGAACTATTTACTGACGATAAGTTGGATGCTACTGTCTTTAATATAACCGATTATCTGAAGTTTTGTTTGGATATTTGCTGTCCATATGAAACACTGTTTTCGAGATTTGACAGAATCTCTTCTTTGCAACTGAAAAAACTTAGAAGACAAAAATAGAAGTTGTATAAGAATTGTGATAATACTGGTGTCCGTAAAATAAACACCCTTATAAAAATTGAAATAGAAAGATTGAACAGACTATATAATGAAAAATTTTTATCATGTAAAAATCCTTCAAACATTTGGAAATTTTTCAATAAACTTACAAGTAAAACACAAATGTCTGTTGATGCTTATTCTGATGCTAATGCTTTAAACAAATCATTTATCATGAAACAAATTAATATGGTTGTACCTGATGTACCTAGTCAAGATAAAGGTCATTTTCCGGGTTTTAAAGAAAAGGATGTAATATTATGTTTGAAATCTTTAAATCCAACACACAGCCTTGATCCAGATGGTGTACCAAGCATTCTTCTTCAGAAGTGTGCAGACATCTTGTGTCATTCTCTTACTCAAATCTTTAATGCATCATTTAACAGGGAAACGGTACCTGCTGACTGGAAAGAAATCAAGGTTGTACCTGTACAGAAATCATCTTCTGAAGCAGGTATAAAGTTTAGACCGGTAGCCATAACATCTCCTTTTTTGAAAACTATGAAGAAACTTCTTTTGAATATTCTTAAACCTTCTTTAAAAGCTTTTAGTGACCCTAAGCAGTTTGCTTATAAGTGTGGAAGAAGAACATTAGATGCAGCCATTGTACTGCACCACAATATTGTTTCCTGCCTTGATAAGGGTGCTAAGTTCGTTCGAACAGCTTTTTTGTACTATACTGCAGCTTTCGACTCTGTTCCTAGGCCACTTTTATTAGGAAAGATGATTTCAGCACAAACAGAGTCCTGGTGCAACTATATGGCTGTCTTCTTATTTTAAGGATAGGAAACAGCATACTGTTTTGGCTGGAAAGCGCTCCGCTTCTCAGCTAACTGAAAGTGGTGTGCCTCAAGGTGCAGTACTTTGTCCATTTCTTTTCTCTTTCTTTTTGCATGACCTTCCGAACTCACCCAAAGTTAACTTCATTAAGTATGCTGATGATCTGACCGTTTCTGTCCCTGTAGTGTCCACATCGGATTGTTCCCATATGAATGGCTTCTTAGCTGAAGTCGAGGATTGGTCTGGCTCAAATGGTCATAAACTAAATCCAACTAAATGTAATACTGTTGATTTCAGCTTGAGAAGTGAAAAAGACATGCATGGATTGATCCAATCTCATGATTGTTGTAATATTGATGGTACCATGATAGAGAGTAAGTCAAGTAATTCTTATCTTGGCATTAGTTTCTCTTCAAACCTTTACTGGTCGTCTCATATTCTTATAGTTTCTAAGAAAGTTTTCCGTCTGACTTATAACATAAAGAAGTTGAGGCACTCAGGTAGAAGCCAACCTCTTCTCATACAATTTATTAATTTATGTGTTTGCCCATCATTCTTTATTGTTCCCTATTATTCTTCCCTGGGCTACTCAAGAAAGACCATATAATACTACGAAGAACATTGAAGGCTGTAAGCAGGGTCAATGCTGTCCCTTTGACTCAACTAACTGACACTGTTGTCAATAGGCAAATGAATTCTTGTAAACACTTAGCTAAAGTTATCTTGTCTGATAGTGAACATCCTCTTTATTCACAATTGTTTCCTTGTATCTCTTCGGGTAAGACCAGAGGAAATTTCATAAACATTTATGCTCGTACTACAAAATATAAAAGTTTGACCGTACCATATTTGGCATGAGTATTGTGTGAAGATTATTATTATTATTTCCTTTAGTTCCTAGAGGAACATAGGGCTTCAGCCATGCGTCTCCATTGCGTTCGGTTCTCTGCTAGAGTTTTCACCTGGCTCCAAGTCTGCCCATACGCTTTCAATTCTTCTTCACATGATCTCCTCCAGGTCACCCTTGGACGACCAACTCGGCGCTCCCCTTTCGGGTTCCACTCGAGGGCTTGTCTAGTGATGTCACTTGCTGGTTTCCTCAGAGTGTGGCCAATCCATCTCCATTTCTTCCTGCCTATTTGTTTCACAATCGGTTCCTGGTTGGTTCGCTCCCAGATATCTTTGTTGCTGATCCTTTCCGGCCATCTGATCTTGAGTATTGAGCGAAGACATCTGTTAATGAAGGTCTGTAGCTTGTTTGAGGTGCTCTTTGTGACACGCCAAGTCTCTGATCCGTATAGTGAGTAACACTGACTTCACATTGGAGTTGAAAATCCCGATCTTATTTTTGACGCTGAATGATGTTGACCTCCACACAGACTTGAGAGTAATGAAAGCTTGCCTTGCTTTCCCGATCCTTGCTTTGATATCCTCGTCAGTTCCGCCTGTAGTTGAAACAATGCTTCCCAAGTAGGTAAAGGAGGTAGTTTCTTTCAGGTTCCTTCCATTTATGCTGATTACTGTCTGTTGTTGTTGCTGTGGCTGTTGGTATTGGCCAGGAATCTTCATCACCTCCGTTTTCTCTATGTTCACCTGGAGTCCTATCTTTGATGCTCCTTCTGCCAACTTGTTACTTTTCACTTGCATATCTTCCAGTTTGTGGGAAATCAGACATATATCATCGGCGAAGTCCAGATCCTCCAAGTTCTTTGTGTGTGTCCATTTTATGCCTGTTTCCTCATTGCCCGCTGTCTGTCGCATTATCCAATCTACTGCAATCAGGAAAATCATTGGCGATAGTAGGCAACCCTGTCTTACTCCTGTCTTCACTTCGAAGGATTCCGTGAGCTTCCCGTTGTGGATTACTTGGCATGCAGCGTTGTCCTACAACTGTTGGATGAGATGTATAATTGTCGGCGGCACCCTGTAGTAGCGAAGTAGTTGCCAAATCACCTCTCGATCGACGCTGTCGAAGGCCTTTTCAAAGTCGATGAAGTTGAGATAGAGAGGTGACTGCCATTCCAAAGTTTGTTCAATGATGATCCGTAGTATGGCGATTTGATCAATACATGACTTGTTTCTCCTGAATCCAGCTTGTTCCGGTCGAGGTTTTTCATCCAGGGCTTGTTTGATCCTTTCCAGGATGATGCGGCTTAGTATTTTGCTTGGGATGGACAGGAGCATAATTCCGCGCCAGTTCTTGCATTGACTTAGGTCTCCTTTCTTTGGTAGTTTGAATAAGTATCCTTTCTTCCAATCCTCGGGTACTTTACCTTCTTTCCACACCTTCTCCAGTAGTGGCGTCATCAAGTCCGCTGTTGTCTCTGGGTCCACTTTCAATGCCTCTGCTGGGATTCCATCTGGTCCTGCTGCTTTTCCAGCTTTCAGCATCTTGATTGCCTTCAGGACTTCTGTTGTCCTCGGGGGGTTGATGTTCACTGGTAATTCTGCTTCCGTTGTTGGTATTGTTGGGCGCGTTGTAGGTGGTGGTCGATTTAGTAGTCTTTTGAAGTGTTCAGCCCACTGTTTCCTTTGCTCCACTTCTTTGGTGATTGACTTTCCATTGTCATCCTTCACTGGCTTAATTTGTGACGAATTTTTGCCTGAGAGGTACCTAGTTGTTTGGTAGAGTGTTGCGAGGTCTCCTTTGCCTGCTGCTTGTTCTGCTTCATTGGCCATGGCTTCATAATACTTTCTTTTGTCTTCTCTGGCACTCTTCTCTACTCCTTTGTTCAGTGTATTTTAGCTTGCATTCAACTCCTGTTTCTGTTGCTCGTCGGTGCACTGGATAATCTTTTGTTTCACCATCCTTCTCTCTTCTATTAGCCTCCAAGTGTCCGTAGTGAGCCACGGTTTGTCCTGTCTCTTCTTTCTGCCCAGAACTTCCATGCAGGTTTCGCTCCATACCGCTTTCAGGTTGTCCCAGTGTTTTTCGCCGCTGACCTCTTCGCTAATGTTGATTTGTGTCTCAGCTTTGTCCTTTATGCTTGCAGTAAAGATGTCCTTTGTATCCTGGTCCTTTAGTTTTTGAGTGTTGAACTTGGCTTGTGGTCTATCTGCAGCTCCTGTTTCTCTGAAAGCTTTTAATTTGAGTTGGATTGTTCCTTGTACGAGGTAGTGGTGAAGAGACATATCAGAAAAGAACTTTTGCAACTTTTAAATCATTAACTAAACTATAAAATGTAATGATACATGTTAATGTATGTGTTGTTTATTATATTATTTATTTATTATGCACTATGACCTAGCAATGGTGTGTTTTTGTTGGGGTTTTATTTTTTCCTATTAACTATCAATATTTTAACATTTTATACATTTACATAATTATAAACAGAGCTAAACCATTGCAATATGTAAAAGAAACGCTGAAAATTCCATGCTGTAAATTGTTATTGTTGTGGAATAAGGTGATTATTATTATTATTATTACGACGTCAGTTTGAAGATAATTTACGATTTTTCTTAGGTACATACTTCGCTGCAGTCTATATTACGGCGTCACACACACTTTGCTGCCAAGAAAGTTGTCTTATACTTGCAAAGGCGATCCTTCTTCTTCCATTCAATATCTTTCACCTCAGTTAATTACGCAGAAGGTGGTCACATGTTCTTCGTAAACAGGGATGAGGCGAAATGCACATGTTAGACATACTGTGTATACAGTTTGCCATGTGCTCATGTCGTTGAGGCTTTCTTAGGCTCATATCTAAACTGTGGTAAGTTCCATTTCCTTAAATTTTACTCTTAGATATTCTGAGAAATAGTGATAGGTGGACACGTCAGTATAACACGAAGGACAACATTCCGCGAGCCACCCGCTTAACACCGGAACCGAATAACGCGTTTCGAAATGCTTATGAACGTTTAAGACGTCGTCTCAACAGTCTGAACCAAAGAAATCCGGATGCTGCACTGCGGGAAATAGCAGAGTTCAGCGGAAGGTTGGACAGTTTGCTAGCAAATGAACCGCAGACAACTTTACGATTACGACGTGCCCCTGTTAATCGATTATCTTTGTGAGAATATTTGCATTACCTTTCCATTTGTATTCATAATATAAACGTGTATTTTTAAACGGTTGTTACACTTCCTTTCCCTTCAGATGCCTGATAGCGACAGTTTAAATTTAATTTTGATTTTTAATTTTTGATTACAGCTTGATTCCACACAGTATTTTTCTGGTACAGGTATGGATATTTTCAGCATGTGATATCGGTAGCCCAAATTTTACAGGCCGACCATAGATATCAGGTGTGAGTTGGCAGGGGATCGAACTCCGGACCATGTGCATGGTCGGCGAGAGTCCTAACCACTGTGCCACCGACGCATACTTCGGTTGACTGTTTCGTGATGAGAACCCTTTGGAAGTCAGTCATAAATTACACCGATCTGTGCCTTATGTAATGCGTTTTATCAGCCAAAGATTACTAGTTCATAGCATATCCTGAGTAACGGCGACCGATACGATTTATTGCCTATACCGTAGCCACCCCAGGCTTACAACACTTCTAAACTTATTCTAACCTATTCTTCGATAATGCCTTTTCAGGGTAAGTGAAGATTTTATCTACCCACTATCTTCTACAGTAACGTTAGTCGTGTTTAAAAAGAGAGTCGGGTGCAAAATAGTCTTTTCATTCTGAAGTAACGCTAGTCCGTGCTTAATAAGAAGAGCAGGGTGGTGAATAATTTATTTTTATTTATTTATTAATTATTACAGCTTGATGACACACCGTATTTTCAGTACAAGTATGGAATTTTCAGCATGGATATCGGTAGCCCAAATTTTGCAGACCAACCATAGATATCGGGTGTGCGTCGGCAAAGGATCGAACCCCGAACCATGTGCATGGTCGGCGAGAGTCCTAATTACTGTACCACCGACACACAGCCGGTCATGGTGATAAACTATCCCACAGTTCCGGTTCAGGCACATAATCAAACAATGGCAGAACAGTTAGGGAGTTTACTTATTAAATAATGTTACTATATTAACATAGTTTACGTGAATTGGCTCAATGATTGCAGGTTTACTATAATCTTTAACTACCAACATAATATCTTGGAACTTCTGGCTTTCTACTCAGGAACTTCTACAGAAATGAGTCTAGAATTCTGTTGTACAAGGTTTGTGTGCGTCCTTTATTTGATTACTGTTCATTCATGTATAGTAGTATACGCATAGAGGACAAATTGAAAGTCGAGGGAGTGCAGAGGTACTTCACCTTAAAATTACTCGGAACTTAAAATTGTGCGAACTACTCCACTAGATGTGATACCCTAGGACTATAAACATTATGGCTAAAACGCCTGAGACTAAACTTAACACTTTACTATAAGCTTCTAAACCACTTAGTTTTTACCTCTACTAATGGCACTCGACTTTCAGATGACAATGGCTACAAACTAAGACACACTAAGGGTACAGTAGCTATAGAACAATGTAAAACAGCCACCAGGCAAAAGTTTTACTTGATTAGGTATGCACAGATATGGAATAAACTACCAATGGAAATGCGTCAAGCAAGTACATTGGCCTCCTTCAAAAAGGTGCTCAATGACAAAGTACAAGAGTTTGCAAACGATAG